TATAATTGATGGTTTGATTAGAAAATTACAACAAAGATTACGTGATAAATATTTTGGTAATAGAACACACGAAATATTGAGACAATTACAAGAAATCGATGCTAATAAAGCTGAAGAATTTAAAGAATCATTTGAATTATTTATTAAAACTGTTATTGAATATATAAAATCTTATTATGACGATAGTACAAGACAGTTTTATGAAAAATTATCATTTTTTAGTTATCAATCACTGGAATTTCTTGCATGGGAACGTCTTATCGATGTTGTTAATTTAATTAAAGTAAATGATTTGAATAAAGATGAATTGTACAGTGAATATTGTGAACTCAGAGTTTTATACGACAATTTAATTAAAAAAGATGTTAAATTAAGTGATCAAATCAAGTTATATATCTCAAGTAAGAAAGACTACGATCTAATATCAACAATAGATAGGTCGGATAGTGTACACGATAATGATGAGGATGATGATGATATTGCATTAGTACATAAAAATCAACAGTATGATGAACATGTACGATCTGATCACTTTTGGTCTTATTTACTGAATATTAATCCTAAATCAACACCAAATATGAAAAAAAGTATATGCTACATATTTTCGATTCCTTGTACAAATGCCTATGTAGAAACAATTTTTAGTCACATAAAACATGCATGGTCCGATTATCGCAATCATATGGATATCGAATTAGTTGATGCTGAATTGAAAATTAGAGTAAATTCTGATTATCCTTGTGCATATATGTATAAACATCTTTTATCTCAACCGGATGTATTGACCAAAATTCGAACAAATGAAAAATATCAACAAACGAAGCGTCGTAATACCGAATAAACTATATTTTTTACGTATTTTAATGATATCTATATATCTATCTATACATAAATATATACTAAATTCATGTTTCTATTTTTTGGTCAGGTTAACTCTCATGTTGCTTTTGTATAAAGCAATTTCTTCCTGTACATATATAATAAGACATTTGATAGTTGTGGTAGTGTTTTTCGGAATTATTTAACCCACAACATATTGCTACTTTTTTCACAATGAAATATGCCTCAACATGATATTTGAAAAAAATAAATGAAGAAAGTCAATGAAATTCAACTAACGTAAAACAAATTTAATGCATTTGAGCTTCAAAAAACACTTTCCGATTTTAAAATTTTTTTTTCTGATTTTTTCCGATTTCCACAAGCAGATTTTCCGATTTTTGATTTTTTGATCTGGCTACCCTGGTTCATATAGCACCTTTCAAGATATTTCTTCTTCTAGGACTTGTTCTCAGACGTCATCTCTTTATTCAGAGATATTCAACATGGTTCACGTATAGTCATCATTGTAGTTATATAGAAAAAAATGGTATCATTTTTCTTTCCTAGTTAATATCTTTCAATGAGCAAAGATTCAAAGTGGAAAGAACTTCTCATACAAAAATAGATTGTGGGAGAGATGCAAACATAGACAGTTCCAATCCGAAGATTGTTTGTTTACGTTGGAGTAGTGGTCCGCTACTCAACATCCTTCAAAGATCTACTAGTGACGTTGTACTGTAGCTATATACTCACGTGCTTATCACTAATAATATACACAATCTAACAAGATTCTGTGTTGCATAAAGCAACTAAGTTCTGTCTTCATATGAATCACTTTTCATCAAATATTAACATGGAAAATCTATTTTATTTTCCATAGACTACAAACAGAAGCACGATCCTATGTGTGCACCACTCAAATATCACCTCATATTCAGAGATGAAGATTATCTTCATTGAACCCATGCTTATTGCAAGACTTTCGATTCATTTTCACTCGATCTATTCCTGATGGAAACGAATCCTTTTTTTTATCCTAGGACAATTACTCTCTTTATGTCATTCATTGTAATGACTTTACTTTCATTATAGCATCGATCAACAAGACTCGATTCAATTTAGTCAGTTATTTCTTTTCATATGATATATGAATTTAGACCAATCCATTTATTGACTGGATACACTTATATATATATATATATATATATATATATAGTCAGACCGTTTTTCTTTGCTTTCCTGTCGTTTCCATGAACGGTCAAAGGTCATCGTGTACAAACCCTCGATGTAATCTTTTCACTCATTTCGTTCTCCTTCCTTCTTACGGTCAGACATATATATGTAGCTTGACCGTTTTTCTTTCCTTTCCTGTTGTTTTCCTTAACGGTCAAAGGTCATCGTATACAAAATCATAGACATGTTTTTTTTCACCCCTTCCGTTCTCTTTCCTTTTAACGGTCATATATATCTACATAGAATAAATTTTTCTATAATGTGACCGCTAATGATAATTATATCCAAAAATTAATTTAAAAAAAATTTTTTTTTCATCAAAAGTTCAATCCTTCATTTTCGATGATATTACGTTGAGTGACTCATTATAATTGCAACTTATAACTAATTAAGTCATCAACATCATTATCTAATGAATTCATATGAATTATCGAATTTTTCATCTGAATCATCCCTTTACAATGAATCATCATTCGACACATTCATTATGCACAGTGCAAGGCAACACTATGCATCTTACCTATAGCATCGATATACAAGACCATTCTTAGGTCAACCGAATCTGTACAAAAATTCTATAACGGACTCGCATACTACGAGTTTGTTTCATATATAGAGAGAAATGAGTCAATCTATTTGCTGACTAAATATATATATTAAGCCAAATCGATTCTTTTCTTTCCTTCGCGTATAACAACGTGGATATATAATCTTTAAAACTAATACACACCATATTAGTATTACAAGATCTCTCTGCTTTTGAAATTAAATTTGGGAGGAAATTATTCGAAATTTTCTTTCAATCCAATTTTTTATGCAGTGTTTTGACTACCTGATGATGATCCTTCAAAAAGGTCGAAATCTAGATAGTAGTTTTAATCTTTTAAACTAATGCACACCCACGAAATGTATGTGATGACGGGCACATGCGTGAAAAAAGTCATGCTTCACTGATTCATATAAACACACAAGTGAGGAAAAAACAAGTAACTTTGTCAGTGATAAATAAAACATAAAATCGACGAAAGGCACACTAGAAAATAACGATAAACTTTGCTATCGCCTTACATGTAAGTATATTCAACTTCGAATATGATAAGAACAACAATAAAATACAGGTTTTAATTAAAGTCTAGTTATAAACAATAAAAAGCAGCAGACATATATACGTGACATTTTGATAGCAATGATATAATTTTATGAAGCCCTGCTTAATATACTCAGAATATGCAATCGATTACCTTGATTGTAGTGTCTCTTATACATAAAAGTCTTATTGTAAATAATGTTGAACAGAGTAACTGTTGTAATGCATAAATTTCAGTATAAATATTAACGTTAGACAACAAAATTTTTCCAACTTCTTGAATTTCGATCTAGAGATCATGACGGAAATGAATTCTAAAATAATTCAAAAGTACACATACTCTGAATGTACTCTTGACTAAGCGATTATTAGGGATTATAGGGATTACTAGAGATTGCTCTTACCCACACTGAGAGATGTGAGTTGACATCTATCACCCTCACCCACACTGAGAGATAATTGCCATAGTTCTTGTAATCCTTGTTAATCCGTATAATCCCTGGTATTCCCTATAATCTCTGATAATCCCTATAATTCCTGTAATCTCTAGAAGGGGATAGATGTTTTTTTTGAAGTATTTCGTAATTCACATCCATCATCCAGTGGTGACCTACTATGTTAAAATGTAAGGCTAAATAATGAAAGAAAAACTTTGATTTATATGATCATCGGTCAGATAATTCAATATTCTAACGGACATCGTCGATTGAAATGCTTATTTTTCTGGAAGAAAATTCATATAGCAGCTCAATTAAAGGAAAACCTTCATAAAGTAATGTATTGGGATAGATCGAGATTGGGTCGAGTTTGATACCATTTGTAGGTGGTCTAATATTTCTCGAGCTTCATTCGTTAGCAGCTGTTCAAATGATTGAGCCATATGGTGGATAAATCGATTCGTACATATCGAAAGATACTTACACACGCTACTTAATAATATTTCCCATATTCATTTAAAATTTTCATATGGATACGAAGAGAAAATATCCTTTATAAATATCATGATATTACTTTATTTTTAACTGAACTTATCTCACGATGAAAAATATAGTATATATATGAATATTCTAGTTCATTCTTAAATTGATCTATTCTTCATTGACATCCATAGTCTCAGTCGTATCGGATTAGTCTTGACTGTTGCTGAAGACGTTTCAGCCAAGTTGAGTAACTTTTTCTCGAGTAACGTTCGATTATTAAGTAAGTATACTGGTGTCTACTGGATATTTTTACCGTGAGAACAAACGTTAGTCTGTTGGTAAAACATAACTTGGTATTAGAAAAAGCGCTAAATGTAGACTGTTGTCTCATCAACTCTTTGAACTCATCTATTTTCTTCCGTTTTTAATCTTAATCTATTATACGGATTAGTCTGGACAAGGTAGATAGACAATCGAACTGGACGATATAAAATGCAGGAACATTTCTGATCCGTCAATTACGGGTATCCAGCAAACGATGCATCGCACTTATACCCTATGATGAATTTCGAGAAATAAATTTCTATCGACAATTTTGACTGACTCAAACTTGATTTGTAAACAATTCTTATATTTAATGTAAGTTTTCTTTTTTCCATATTTTGCACAGAAATTCTCTATTTCAATAAGTTAAATTCTATGAACTCTGTAGATAAAAATGACTGCTCGATGCCTAGAAAGTGAAGACATTTTATGTAGATGAAAATTTTCAAACAGCATAAATCATTACATTTAACGTGACTTTTAGCTCTTGTGTACAGGACTACTTTCACTTCTTCCAATAAAATAAAAACTATTCATCCCACCATAGAAAACAGGAGTCAAATTACAACGCATTGAAGGTAAATTATTTCAATCAATTTAGTATTTTCTTACTGTTGGCAAATTTTCGACAATGCTGAACTTAACAAAAACCTCTTGTGGAAAAAGTCATGAACGATGTGATCCAGATATATCCGGTAGCGAGAACGATGCTTTGCTACGTTCAAGAGATCGTTTTCTTGTTCAAAATTTCATTCTCGTTTGGTTAGACTCAAGCATGAATGAGTTCGATGATGATTCCAATACAATTAATCAACTCCGACAAATCGTCAATACAATCGATGTTTTCAGTGATGTTGACGAATGCATCGATGTTATTACTGAAATCGAGGACGAAAAAGTCTTTATGATTGTGTCAGGTGCTCTTGGTCAAACACTTGTTCCTCTTATTCATCAAATGACTCAACTGCACTCTATTTATGTCTTCTGCCACGATGCGAGCAAATATGAGGTGGTGCAGTATGGTTGGACAAAAGTTAAAGGATACTTCTCCCAAATTGAGCCCCTTTGCAAATTACTGAAGCAAGACACGAAGCAATGTAACCATGATTCATATTCCATCAGCATTGTTCCTCCAGATGATTACTCAAACAAAAACTTGAATGAGCTTCCACCATTGTTTATGTATTCACAGCTACTGAAAGAGATCTTGCTCGATTTTGACTATGACAAGCATGCAAAGGAAGAATTTGTTCGACTGCTGCGAGAACTGTATCATGGTAATACATCTCAGTTGAAAATCATCGACCGATTCGAGAAAGATTATGAGCCTCATTTAGCCATTCTCTGGTATACGACAGAGGTATTCATGTATTACATACTCAATCGAGCTTTGCGAACTATGGAGACTAATATTTTGATCAAGATGGGTTTCTTCATATATGATCTACATCAACAGATCGAACAGCTGCACGTTCAGCAATTGAAAAGCCGAATTTTACGGACTGTTTATCGAGGACAACAGATGTTTAATAGTGATTTCGAGAAACTATCCAACAGTAAAGGTGGTCTGCTGTCGTTCAACAACTTTTTATCGACGAGTACTAATCCAGAAGTGTCTAATATGTTTTCTTCAGGTACACCAGTTGATCCTAACATGACTGCGGTTCGATTTATAATCGAAATCGATCCTCATATTACATCCGTCCCGTTTGCCTCTTTAGGGAATCTGAGTAACTTTGAGGAAGAAAACGAAATTCTATTCTCGATGCACATGGTATTTCGCATTGTTTACGTTGAACCAATAGAAAATCGTCTATGGCGAGTAGGTCTCAAAGTGGCCAATTCCAATGATGATCAAGATCTGAGGCAACTTACAGAACGCATACAAAGAGAAACACATGGAGGAACAGGTTGGATCCGACTGGGTAAATTGCTCATGAAAATGGCAAACTTCAAAAAGGCCGAAGACGTGTATCAGACACAATTGAAAAATACATCCATGGAGAATCAAAATGAAATGCTTCACCTATATCTAGGCCTTGGAAGGTTCAAAGCAGGACAAGGAGAATATAAACAAGCCCTCGAATTCTATCAAAAGACACTTGAAATCCAACGAAAATCGCTCTCTCCAAATCATTCTAGCTTAGCTACCACCTATAACAATATTGCTTCAGTATATGGTTACATGGGAGAGTATTCCAATGCATTGGATTTTTGTCAAAAGACACTTGAAATTCAAGAAAAATCTCTTCTTCCAAATCATTGGAGTTTGGCTATTACTTATGGGAATATTGGCTTTATATATTTACACATGGGCGAGTACTTGAAAGCACTTAACTTCTATCAAAAGTCACTAGAAATTGAACAACTAGCTCTTCCTTCAAATCATCCAGATTTAGCGATTACCTACAATTGCATCGGCGGGGTACATCACAGCATGGGAGATTACTCTAAATCACTCGAATTCTATCGAAAGGCACTTGAAGCCAATCATAAATCACTGCCTCCAAATCATCCCGATATAGCTGCTTCGTACAATAATATCGCAGGGGCGCACTTTGACATGGAACAATATTCACAAGCACTTGAGTTTTATCACAAAGCGCTCGAAATCATCCAGAATGCTCTTGCCCCGAATCATCCCAGTTTAGCAGTTGTCTACGAAAACATCGGGGGGATACATTTAAAGATGGAAGAATATTCCATAGCATTGGAGTGCTTTCAAAAGACACTTGAAATCCAAACAAAATCTCTATCTGTAAATCATCCCAGCTTGGCTGTCACCTACAACAATATTGGTTTGTTGCATTACAAAAGGGGAGATTATTCGATTGCACTTGAGTTCTATCAAAAGACGGTTAGCATGTGGGAAAAATCTCTCCCTACAGATCATCCCAATTTGGCCGTTACGTACAATAATATCGGTCACATTTATGAGAAAATGGGCGAGTACTCGAAAGCACTGAATGTCTATCAAAAGTCACTCGATATCAGACAATACTCTCTTCCCCCAAATCATCCAGATCTGGCTGTTGTTTACAGCTCAATTGGCTCAATACATCTAAAGATGAACAATTCCCAAAAAGCGCTCGAGTCCTATCTAAAGACGCTTGAGATTCGACAAAAGTTTCTTCCTCAAAATCATCTTAGTTTAGCTATTACTTACAACAACATAGGTCATGCTTATAACAACATGGGGAAGTATTCGACAGCACTCGATTTCCATGAGAGGGCCTTGGAAATTCAACAAGAACTCCTTCCTCCGAATCATCCGGATTTTGCTATTACGTACAACAACATTGGTCAAATACATGACGAGATGGGTGAATATTCGAAAGCACTCGAGTTCTACCAAAAAACGCTAGAAATTCAACAAAAATCGGTCTCTCCGAGTGACCTGAATTTGGCCAGTACCTACAATAACATCGGTCTGGTTTGTTACAACATGGGAGAATGTGCGAAAGCACTAGAATTCTATCAGGAAACACTCGAAATCCGACAACGATCTCTCCCTCCAAATCATCCAGGTTTAGCAAGTACTTACAACTGCATCGGTGTTGTGCACTTGAACAAAGGAGACTATCTAAAAGCACTCGAATTCTATCAAAAGACATTAGAAATAATTCAACAATCATACCCTCCAAATCATCTTAGTTTTGGTGCTACATACAACAACATCGGCTTGATACATTACCATATGGAAGATTACTCGAAAGCTCTTGATTTCTATGAAAAAGCACTCAAAATTGACCAACAATCACTCGCTCCAAATCATCCTAGTTTAGCTACTACGTATAAGAACATCGGTTTAGTGTATGACAGCATGAGAGACTACTCGAACGCATTCGAATCTCAACGAAAAGCTCTTGAAATTCGACAAAACGCGCTGCACCCTGATCATCCAGATTTGGCTCAAAGCTATAACAACATTGGTCAGATCCATGATCACATGGGAGAGTACTCAAAAGCAATACCATTCTATGAACGTGCTGTCGTCATTGGACAACATTCACTACCTGAAAATCATCCACATCTTCAATTGTACGAAAAATGCCTTGCCGAAGTACAAAAAAAGTTGTAATACATTGTAATTTTGATGAATAAAAAACTAATTTACTATACGTGTTATGGGTGTGTTAAACACTCAAAATATAGAGATTCAAAGCATTATACGACGCGTTTCGATCGAGGCTTAATTCGATCATCATCAGGTATCTTTAGAATCTGTTGCTACATGTAAAAATTTCGAACCATATATTGAGATGGAAATAAACCTTAATATTTAACAATATGTTCGAATTCAATTCAATGAAGGAGTCGAACAAGACGACAGCCAATTTGAACAAAATCCAAAGTTAAAGTTAAAAGGGTGTGGGTGTGACTAAGCTACCATGACTAGTTTCGACCTTGCTAAAGGGTCTCCTCAGATGGCTTAAGATCTATTCAAGTTTTGAAAAATTTCAAAGAAAAATTTGAAAACTAAATAGAAAAATTAAAATTCAATGTTATAAATATAATTTTAAATAAAGAAATATATAAAAAACTAAATTTATAATAGAATCTTAAAATTTTTCCGATGGAGAAACGATTGTTATTATAGTAGATAGTTTGACTAGATTTATTTGGTCTTCTCAGGTAAAAAAATGTTTTGAATTAGTTTTGGATAGAATAATTTGAATTGTGATTTCTGTTTTATTGAATATTCAGAATGAGGTTAGAGGAAACAGTGACAAAAATATTTCGCTGAGTCGTGAGTGTTTATGAATGTAGATGATGATGATGATGATGATTGTTTCATACTTCGTAATCATTTTTTTTGATTTTCCAGGTCTGGTTGATGATGTCTATTCTTTTTGCGGTTAGCATCTAGAATGAGAGAATTATTGTATAGTATATAATGTTTTAAAGAGTGATTTTTTTTTTGTCATTCATCATACTTGCTTTAGCTTTGTTTTTTAATATTGCCTGTCTTGGACGTTTTCGAATCAGTTCTTTCAGTGTGCTTTTCTGATTTCTGTTCCCAACGATCAGTTTCGTTTCGATTATTGAAGTATTTGCGAATGTACCTTGAAAGATGCGATGCATGACGCGTTTCCGTGTCTTGAATCGTTTCTCATGTGTATAACGAATTATAAGTTTATTTTGAAATTCGTTTGGTTTCTTTTTTTCTTGAATGGTAAATTCATGTTTTTTATCCAATTCTTCAATTAAATGTTCATTATCGGTCGTAAGTGTTTTAATTCTCATTTCGACTTGAGATTGTTGTCGACTTGGTTGTCGAGATAATGCAATACGCATTTGTAAGAATTGAGCTTCATTATCAAGAAATGGTAGGAATGATCGAGATGATATGTAGCCAGAAAAAAATTTTCGAAATATCTTGTCGATAAATGAAGAAGGG